TTCCTTCATGCCAAGACCCCCCCCCCCTCTCACATTGTACTTGTAAGCTTTGAAATAAAAGTAACTGTTCGCATAGAACACCAAACCCCGTTTCATTCCTTTTCGTTGGTTTTCAATTTATGGTATTAGTTCTTAATTAGGACAGCGTAGCCCATTTTGTAGGGATTTCTCCTATCCTTAAGTTGCTCTATTGTGATATCCATTCGATTCTTTATTATGGCCAGTATCCAGACAATCTACACTGTGAATAGACAACTATGAAATAGTGTGCCCTATCCCTGGACATGGCATCCGACTTGCTAATTTCTTAATTAAACGTAAAACAATTTGCAGTTCAGATTGGGCATAGCTGAAACTAACCTAAAGGGTAGACGAGTAAAATATTAACAAAACTCCTGTTACTGGAGTTGTCCATTAAGTTCTTCCAATTTAAGGTGGAGTGGCAACAGGTTTCCCCTAGATGAATGTAGGGCCAGATGAAATATTGCCAGATAAATCATACAGGGGAAAAACCTACCACATTCGCTTCTTAAAACCAACTGAAAACTATAGCCTAAAAGGATTAATAAAGATATAGATTAATGGCTTGGTATGTTTATCCAATAACGAAATCTAAACAATAAATTTTACATAATATATGTCTCATATATCATTATAAACTGAGACGCGACGAACACGTACCACTGATTTGACCGAAAGCAATGACAGCTGAAAGGTGATTTTTGGCATTATTGTAGGCTGACCATTTACCGTCAGAAAAACAGAACAAACCATAACAGTGAAACGTAGACACATGGAGGATATGAGCCTCTAAATGGTTGCTTGTGGGATCTTTTCCACTCTTGTTGTTCTAATGACAATCTTGGTATTATCGTTGCATCTTCCACAGAACTGAACGAGTTGTAATACCCCAATGTCTGCATCATAAAATCGTGATTTTCAACATGCCTATTATGTCGAATTCAAATGTTTGTGTTCAAGAAAATTGATCTGCGGTGCGTTTATGCGTTCGTGAAAAGATCATTCTCGCAGGTCCTCTTCGTGATCTGATGTTGTTACATTTGGAATTAAAGTGTAGCTCTCAAACAAGATTTATAAGCACTTTTTTATAAATTGGTTTCTGTGATATGAAAGTACTGAAGCACGTATTGTTTAGATGTTGCCCTTCCAAAATATAACACTAACTAGCAGGTCCAGTGTTTGATCCCGGTGTTGGCCTAGAAAATTCCTTGTAATTTTGCAGAATGGTTTCCTTTGTCAGAGATGCAAGGCGGAGGGTCTGCCAAGGAACAGTGTCTAGTCATTGGGGTGGTACGATAAACCGGATTCTCGTAAAAAAAATACCATTGGCATTTGGAATTTGAAGGAGAATAAAAAGAAACGGACAAGATTTACCTCATAACATACTGCATTATGTCAGTCGGTGCAGAACAGTAGGGCGTTTGAGTATTACGGGCTCAACAAATCTAATCTTAATTATGACCTGATTATTTTGTAAACAAATATGATAGCTTGGCTTGGTCATTTGAAAGTGAATATTTTGTCAAAACTTTAACACATTTTGTGATGTACATAGTAAGTGAAGCTGATATCAAAAAAAATGTAAAACAAACTCGAAAAGGATAACTATGAAATTGTCAACACAGGTCCAGTTTGTCACCATGAAAGTGGAGTCAGTAATTGAGTAACATGCCAAAGTGATTTTTAAAGTTACATGTGCATGTGTAAATATACTTTACAAAATGACGTTATATATTGGGGTACAAATTTTTTGCAATAGTAAATTTTCTTTGATGTTTCTAGTGATTTAATTAATTTAATATCTGGTCAAAACTTTAACACATTTTGTGATGTACATAGTAAGTGAAGCTGATATCAAAAACTTGTGTAAAGATAACTATGAAATTGTCAACACAGATCCAGTTTGTCACCATGAAAGTGGAGTCAGTAACTGAGTAACATGCCAAAGTGATTTTTACAAAATGACGTTATATATTGGGGTAAAAAAATTTGGCAATGGTAAATTTTCTTTGATGTTTCTAGTGATTTAATGTCTATATGAAAATGTAAGCACTTTTGCAACTGTCCTCTTTGTTTAAACAAACCTAAATTAAAAACAACAACCCATCCAAATCAACAATGTATTAATTCTCTGGATTAACTGCAGACATGATATTGTGAATAATACCTAAAATATGATAAAAAAAATACTTTTAAACAATAAACTGTATTCCAAAATTTATATTAAAAGGGTAAAATTTTATGTTTTAAGCACACTGTTTAAACATACATTATGCAAGAGCTAAATCTGCCTATTGCAGGTCTTTCTTAAGGCCTGAAATACATATAAACTATTAATTAGACTTTTATTAACATGACAAGACCATAATCAACTCTGGATGCCATGGGATATCTCCGATATTAAGTAGATTGGAACGGTTCAGTCATATTTTGATTTAATCTAAAATGGTGACGGTGCGGTGGTTGCAATAAATGCACACATCTTGTCAAACCTTCAAAAGCTAATATGTTCGTTCGCAATGGAGCAATTTGAATGAAATTTTCAATAAATTAATTTTGAATTATCTATTTTCGAACTATTACAGTAAGAATGGCCAGCTCTTTATCTAAATCTTACATAATGTATCTTTAAATAATACACGTTTACAATGTAATCACTAATATTGCAAGAACACATTCCAAGTATATGTAGAAAGAAATTATAAAGCCACATTCAATGTAAGCGGAGCTTCATGTACAACGCAGTGTTTCATATGTTTAAAATACTGCTTTGTATAATTTATTTCTGTGCATATTGCAATCATTAATTTGGAGTTAGTTTAGCATTATTTTCTATTTCTTCAAAAAGCAATACACGACTTTTGGAAGATATTTGACCCTCCCCCCCCCCTTCCTTTGATTTATGCACATCAACACAGCTAGGCCATTCTGGGACGAACATAATATATCATATATTTATTTCATAAATCTTAGTCAGGTGACCCCAATTCTGATGACGTACAATTGAAGTCATATCGAAATCTGATTCGCAACGCCTTGCACCCATTCTGGTGTCTTTGGCGTTCGCGTGTTGTCCAGAATGTAATTTCAATTCGATCAAATGTATTGCCAAGAATAAATATTCGACTATTTGGCACATGGTATTATACCCACACCCATAGATAAGCAAGAATACGTTGCCGGACACGAGACACCCACTCACTGATATGTTAAATCATACACAGGGTAAATCCAGGGCCATATCATGTTTTTCAGCTTCTTTAAGTGGCAAGTATCTGTTTTTCAGCAGTTCGCATAACAAAAATGTCCCCATAAAATGGACATACTAAAGCATAACCTGTAATCTGAGAAATGTATGCCATAACGCTGATGATTGTGGTATATCACTTAATACACAATTACCGATCTCGTTTAAAGTGAAATGAAATGAAATGAAATGGGGTTTAACGTCCTACTGTTCTGCTCCTAAACTGGGCTAATGAAGACGGGCATACGCCATGCAGTGTGCTATGAGGGAAATTTTGCCCGGGTAGCGACGCTACGGCCTACTCTTATATCGACTTCCATCTGCCAAGGGATCTTTTACGTGCACTCCAATGTGTACACGGGACCTCGGTTTTTCGTCCCATCCGAACGACTAGACAGCTGTCCTTGTCAGGCCCTCCGTCCTGCATCACTGACAAGGGGAAACCACGCCGGAAAATCGGGATGAACTTTCTCGGCCAATGCAGGGATCGAACACCTGACCTCCAGGCTAGCGAGCCAGCGTCTTACCCACTTAGCCACGTGATCCCCCCTCGTTTTAAGTACCAACTTCATCGTGTTTCTGGTGTGAGCCAATTTAAGAAGAAATATATATATTAATATATATCAACGATTTATTGTACAACCACATACATACACGCATTCATGTCAATAGGTTTTATAAATTATGGAAAACAGCATAGTGCCTGAGAAAAGAGTTCTCAGTTTTGGAATAATGAACAAACATTTTCTAATATATCCACACACATTAAAATTAATGTTTTAATCCGATTTCAGATTCACAAACGTATTCGTGATGTTTCAAGTTACATCAATTTTAGAAGTGTCCTAATTTGCTTCCAGTCCATTTGTTGAATTTGTGAACAAAATAGAACTAAGACACATTTATAATATGTCAATATTCTGCAGTCTATTAACTTTTGAAACACAGAATGTTCAAAAATATTTTATTGAAATCTTCTTAAAGATAATAATGAAATCTTAAACAAAAAGAATTCTTGAATTTTCGAAATGGTTTGAACAATCTATCGAATATCCAAGATAGTATACTATTGTAGGGTAGGTCTATTTGAATTTTTAGGGTAGATTCTAGGATAAGCTTGACCATTTGTTAAATTTTGAATGTACACTGTAATTTCTGGGATTTTTAAGATACAAACATTTTAATTTCTTCAAGGGTTTTAATGACACTGGCTCTTTTAAAGCGAATTCTTTAAACATGGATGAGGCCTAATCTCTTCCATCCCATTTGTCTTATATTCATTTCTATATAATGACCCGAATATTAATTTTAATTTTTTACAATATTATACTGATTTTTAAAGATGAACGTAGTCTGTTAAAATAAAAGTTTAGTTAATTCAGATGATAGTCTGCTGAGTTTTAATGTTAGTTGTTTTTTGAATAAACAGTATCTACTCTCTAAAGTAGTTTCAATTATATTTTTAACCATTCACCAGTTCAATTTTCAAAATGCTTTCTTGAACACTCAAATCTTTATCTTGGAATCTTGAGTACTCAAAAAAGTTTCTTAAAATAGTAAACCTTTAAAATCGATTCTTGAAATATTGAATATTTAAATTTGTTCTTGAAATAATGCTAAATATCCCACTCCTGCTTGGTAAATTGTTCAAGTTTCAAGATAATGGTAAATTTCAAGAAAATTTCTTTAAAACAAAACCGAAATGAATCTGAATAATTCATACTGAACCTACCTGCATCTTGACTATCATCTCTTTCCTCTTCATCATCATGGTTCACAAGACTGCATCGATTGGATTACCAATTCAGTGTAACTGTAACAAATATTTAAATTATTAACATATAACATGTGGAATGGTAATACAGGCCCCCGAGTTTGATTCCTTCCATAATTTCTATATAATATCTGGACCCAAGGTCACAAAAAAGTACATTCTCCATAACGGATATAGAGAAAACTGAAGTCACTAATATCCATAACTAGGGAATTTGATCTGTTTGGTTGCGTGTGGACATGGGGAAGAGTGTTTTAAAACGGCTGTGTATATTGGTTTTATCTTATCATTTATTTTTAGTGCTATTGACATAATTTGCATTATATTTGTTTATATGTAAGTAAATGAATAAATAATAATTCTAAGTTTTCTTTGTTGGTTTTCTATAACATTATAGTGTTATACATCAATATGGATCCAATTTAAACAACCGTCAGTTAATAAGGGAATTTGATTTGTTTGGGCATGGGGAGGTTGCTTCGGTTTATAAGTTGTCACCGTGAGTGGTGTAAACTGATACACTACACCCATGTACTATTATATACTAATCACCGCAGTTTTTTTTGTCAATATCACCCAAAGTATTACAAAAAGTCACCGACAAAAGTTATCGATATGCAAATTCTACACATCATAATATCAAACATTTAAATAATTTCATTAAAAAAAAAAAAAAAAAACTGACAAAAATATGGATAAGTGAAATTTACAAACACAAAGATATAGTACACGATAATATTTCGCAACATTTACATTTCTTTAAAGGTAAGTAATACTTGAAGTGTTAATGTGATTAACGTCAAATGTATTGGTATTTTTCTTTTTTTATTCATAACCAAGAGCATTTGTGTACACGAAGACTCTTGCAACTCAACACACGGTGATATTCTCCCATTTTTAATTGGTATTAATTATGCTATCTACAGTCGAGTAGCTCATCCAAAACACACTTTAACGTCTATAATTACATCTTTGGGTGTTTAGTGGTCATGAACATTGGTTACAATTGTTAGGTTAGTTGGTTATACTTGTGGGTATATCACGCGTCAAAAATAAAAGTTGACTATAGTTTTAACAGCATCAATTTTTAACAGTGCACGGTTTATTTAATTTTATTGGGTTGTTTAAAATTCGGTTTATTTATTTATTTTAGTGCTATTGACCTTTTATTTTTCATGAATTGTATTTGTAAATACAATCTGATTAAACTACACATCTATATTTCGTTTGTTTTTTTTTATACTTATACACTACATAAAAATATGACCGGTTGTAGTAAAAGGTCGCGTCAGAGGTTGAACAAACGGCTTTTGAACCTATGACGTCAGACATTTATTAATCAATCAGCGATGACGTTTTTAGTGGTTTACCCACAGTCGCCCTAACAGATAGTTTCATTGGCGAATCCTCCACTCCATCTAGAACGCAGGTTATATAACAACTCTTCTAGATGCTTAAGTGGTACAGACAAATAAAACGAAATTTTGAACAATAAAAAACGAAACGAAATAGGATCTGTGTTTTAATCAGATTGTTGTAAATATGTCATTGTATGTATATAAACAATATTTCCAAGTCTTTGTTTCTTTTCACATTATAATAATATGCACCAATGTTACCTAAACCACACTGGTTTAAAGAAAATAAGTGGCCAAATTGAGCATAAAGTTTCACCCATAGCACACTGTATGGCATTAGCCCAGTCGGTGCTGAATAGTAGGACGTTAATCTACATTTCATTTCATTTCTTTAACAGGGCTTCCCGTAGAAACATGAAATAATGAAAAGGGATATGGTAACTCTTTCTACAATACTTGATACGGTTTCTAAATTACTAGGCTTATATGGATAAAATATTTCCATAAATTCCATGGAATAGTTTACTTTTAACATGAAAACATAATTCGAAAGAGCACGGAGTGTAATGAATAAAGTCTACATTTACATATAACAACTGTTTGATTTACATTTACATTTACATCTACCATAATAATCCTGTCCGCCAACAAGCTTTTAAATATTATCTTCGGTTGTAAAATATGGTTACAAGAGCTTTGAATAAAGTTGGGTCGGTGTTTACCTGGAAAAAGATGGATACACTAAACACGTGGGTGTAGCTCACCGGCATATCATCAACAAGTACATCCAGCCATCTTGTTCCAGTCCTGGTGTGTCGATAATAAAGATCGGAGGACGATGCAGATTCAAACCATGTCCGTTGAACGGGACAAGCGATTGCAAAAGGCAAGCCAAACTAAAAGTTTGGTCGAATGTTTTATGTCTGAGAAACAACGTTTTTCATGCCTGTTGTTATAGAAAGTGTGTCAACTTTTCAAATATTGTTTAAAACTAAACGTTATGTATATATACTGGTATATCATTCACAGAGAATAGGGATTTAAGACATACAGTAGTTTGACAATCTACTACATCAGTTACAATTTCTACTTCAACTTCGTACCTGGAAAACTGATTGTGTTTCTAGCCCCTGTTTACATAGATTCCCCTAAATTCATACCATGTGGTGCAGTTTCTTTTTTAATGACCCAGACTATAAAAACAGATTTTCATCTATTTTAGGCAAGTGATAATCTCAAACAATATCGTTTTACTCCCATGGAGAATTATCGTTAGGACACTATGTTGGATAACTTCTAGATTCCTTCGTGGTGACTGTTTGTTTGACCTTAGGGTGCAGACTAAGATTTGAATTTAAACTGTATCAATACTGTTAAAGTCAATAACAAATGCTGGGGTGAGACAAAGAATCTATCAACCACAGAAAACTATGCCCCACCCTCCCTAAACTCAGCGATTCAGACTGACACCCTTGACATGACATCATCTATCTACAGAATGTCTTATTTTCAACCAGGTCTGGATATGATTTTTTTCAAAATTGACATTCCCACACTGTTGTTTACGATTCGTTTGAATGTAAACATACCCAAGGCTATTCCAAAGGATTCCATTTTCAAATTGTGATCGATAAGACAACTTTTGTTGTTAACATTAATATTCTGTCATTTGAACTAAATCACTGGACACAAACTATGTCATTTCGTGACTAACATATGGTTTAATTTTTATTTCATAACCCGTTTGGGCGTAGGGTTTTAGCAGTGGGGGGGGGGGGGGGGGGCAAGGAGAAAACTCACGAGGTTTGACATGCCATCCTACTCCTTGTCACGTACAAGTTGACTCAATAACAGACCTTATGACCTAAAGCACACGCGTTAAACCATTCGGTCATCCAACCGGTCAATCCCCTTAACCTGGACCAACTTGGAAACGTACAAGGGCCCATGAATCAACTGCTGCAACCATTTGAAGAACCTATACTACTAAAATAGTTATTCAAATTAGAAACTGTAGGTAGAATAGATCAAATTTGATTTATGCCGAATATTCGAATATCAGAGTTGTAGTATTCGAATATTGGAATACTTGTGCCAAACACTAGTTTTACGAGTTTATTTATAACCGTACAAACAAATTGTAAAAAAGGAATGCGTTGGGGAATCGGAGTTACGTTAACAATATTCTGTTTCCGATTTAAGGTATTATAAAATTTCAAACAAGGACAATAAACATGTATGGTTTTCAATTTACATATTAGAGGGGTAATAAAGAGTCAGATTGCCTTCTGCATTGTTGTGAAATTAACAACATTCAGTCATCTTCTAGGTATGCTTCAGGGGCCACCATTTTAAGCAATAAACCGTTGACATGACCCGAAGGTCTGTGACCCTAAATTTGAATTTTGAACAAGCAAGGCATTAAAATAGCTTTCACCATTACCAGCACAAATATGGTGACACAAAAACAGTTGCTTAGCTTTTATTGGCACAAATTTCTAGAAAAGTGTATGACAGTATTACAAGTTGCTAACTATTTGAGAAAAGGAGAGGTCCGATATATCTTTAACTATAAAATAAAGCATATTCAGAATACTGTATGTAATTATAGACACATCGTTCTATCTTAATCAAAAGACCAATGTGCTAATATAGGGTTTTCCTAGTAATCAACTCCTTTATTTATGGTTTATTTTGTTTTATTACATAGTTTTATTATTAAGAAAGAAATCCATACATTAATATGACCATATTTCTCCAAATGTATTAAACTGCAATATAAACTTGTTTTGTTGGGTTTTTCTTAAAAATTGAGAAGTATTTCTTGTCCAGATATAGGACGATATGTAAATAATAGGTATATCCCCATTTTCTTGAAGTGAGTCAAGGGCCATATGTAAAATTATTTTAAAATGACACAATAGGTTGATAAATATCGATAATAGACGATTGAAAACATCTGACAAAATAAATAACTTTTACAAATACTTGCTTCTAAATAATGAAAAGTTATTATAACTATTATTTATAATGGAAAATGATTTATAAAAATATCTATTTTTAAGTCTGTTACATAGCACATGTAACAGTTTATAGTTTTCATTAGAGCATGCAGCTATATTTTCACTTATAAATATTTTGTTATTATCATATAGAACGTATACACCTTTCATTTGAACAACATATTAAAGTGACTTTTAGTGGAATATTGGCTGATATATAATCACATGTGAAGGTATGACTGCAAATAAATCACCGTTTTACCTTTGTTGAAAAGTTAAATTTGTTTCTTAAAGATGCTTTAAGTAAGATTTAGATAAAGATCAGCCGTTCTTGCTATAATAGTTCCATTGTAAATTAGATAAATCAAAATTAATATATTGAAAATTTCATTCAAATTACTTTATTCTGAACGACGTTATCACTGTTTAAAGTTTTGACATAGATTGTTTATTATCATCGCAACGTTACTTGTTACTCGAGACTCAGCCTAGCTTCTCCATTTTAAATTAAAATCATTAAATGGTGATCGTATTTTAATCCGTTTACATCTGCGCCATCTCATAGTCTAGAGAGCTGATAATATGCTTGCCATGTGAACAAAATAATTTATATAACATCTAAATCCAAAATAAAAAAGTGTAATAGGTAGATTTAACTCTTAAATAATGCATCTTTAAA